ATGGTCGACCCTAAAAAATGCACACCTCGCCTTATCCCACGGTTATCTGTCTCCAGCGGTAAAGTCTCAACAAGTACGGAGCTAATACGAAAATTACTCATGAAAGGGTGGTGTGTGACCGGCCTCAAGCAGTTGTATCTTGTGCACTGCGGCACGCTCTCAGATCACTAAGATCACCTCTAATCCAATTTCCTTTTCAGGTACCTCCAGAAGAACCGTTCCACATTGTGGGCAACCGGGAAGTGATAACCGCCCTCATACTTCTAACAGCACTCAAGAATTCTATTTAACGCGTGATAGTCATTGAATTTCCTTTTATTTCAGTATCTACCAATATTCATCAGGGTGTAAGTCGAAAATACAAAATGTGTTCTTAGTATGTAAGATTAAGCTTTACTTATTCCTAACTGGCTTTAGTTCAGCAATTCATTGAAATGAATATCCATTAAGTTTAAAAATATAGTAATGAAATTTAAAACGAAAGATACTTCTAATAAAGATAAATAGATTAAACTAATACTCAACAATACTATAACGTTAGCAAATATACGCGATTAGAAAGAGGAAACAATACAGGGGATTTTTTGTCTTTAATAAAACAACATAACAAATATTGAAAAAAAAACATTACAATATACTTATCATTCTTCAAGAGAAGAATACCAGTAGAAACAAATGTAAGTTGCATGTCATTGTTCAACAACAAAAATAACAACTGTTGTCAAAACCTTATCATATTATAATATTGATTTATACCAACCATAATACGTAGTTATTAGTTGAGAATTTTCAAGAATAAAACTATTGATTATTATTGAAGTATAGATATTGTTGATGTATCGTCCTATGAATAAAATTAACATCATTTATGTAAATAATAAATGGGTTGATTTGCCATGCACACTATTATGACATTTAAAAGCAAATCGAAAAAGAAGACTTATTACCACTACAGTGTATCATATGGGAAAGTAAAGGAGTTGTAATGAAAGAGAATACAGGTTAGGACAAACAAATGGCCATCAATTGCCCTGGTATGGCCAAGAGTGGGCAGAGTCCGCCCTCCCTCTCCAAATGCTCTCACATAGCCACGCGTATATAGCCTCTGCCAGGGAAGTCATACTTACTGCCTTCTCGCGATGGGGTGTTGTTTACGAAATTCAAGGGACGAAAAGCGAATGTCAGGGGCTTTAACCGGGCCGGTGGACACTGTGAGTCCACCTAGGTGAGTTAGGAAACTGATTCCAAACCAATGGTGCACATGGGCTCCAGTACCCTGAGGGAACAAATGGTGTATGAACCAATTGTTGGTCACCGGCTACCATGGGACTACATCTTCTCACAATGCCCCACTGCCTTGTGGATCATACCTTTAGGTCGAAGGCTACGGGTGTGCCCGCCTAATAAAACCACCTGCTTCGGTTTGGGCACCTGGGTAGTATCACAGACCTCACACATATCAAATGAGATATGTGTGACGCATATGTATTTGGTGCCTCCTTGTACCAGTATCTATGTGTTAAAATAATAAATAATAATAATTACAAAATATCTTGGTAAAATTTGATAATCATACAGTAAATACTTCACTTGCATAATATCCATCAATTGTCTCAAACTTTGTTGTTCGTTCGATTCTATACCAATCACTCTCTGTTCTCGCTCTCTTCTCTTCGAATTTTTTTAACCTTCTACCGTTAGTCATTTCAGTTTCGATTGGTGATACATACTACTTATATCTGTCGACATTATTAGCATACACCATCGAATATGTCAATTATATGTATTTTTCACTCATATCTTTACTAAATAAATAAATGTCTCTAAAATTTTCGAAACATTTATCGTCTCCTAATGAATATAAATATATTAAAAGTTGATGATACATTTAAGATCAAAGTTTCTTAGTACAAAGTGAAACTACAGCTAAAGCCTTAGTACCTATTCACAAATGAGTAGTAAATATCAATATAAGAGGTTTATGCAGAGTATTGAATGTTATCAGTATTATGAACAGATCAAAGCCAGGCAACTTTTGAAAACCTGGAAGCACTGGACATCTGTTTTGTACCAGTATGGCAACCCCTCACTAGTGTGTATGAAAGAGGCCTTGGTTGATTGGACGCAAAACTTGAAGGTATCGCTACGAGCGCTTAACCTCTAGGCCGCTGACCACTACGCATCCAGTAATGTACACATCGGATTGGATCATTTTCTATGCTTGGTCGTTGAATCATCGGTGTTTGCTTTAATAACAATGTACTAACAGGTGTAAAACCAAAGTAAACAATAATAAATACCTTCACGGTTTGAAAATGGTTCTTATTTAACTACTTATGAATACAGTCAAAATCAAATGACGTGTATTTTGTAACTATGCGAAAAGGAATGATTTTGTTGTGAATACTACGAACAACGATCATATAACCACTTGATATTTATCATCAGTTCATTAATACGATTCTTTGTAGAGAATGATTACTAATCAGATTCAAATATAACATAGATTATGTTAACGGGATATTTTTATTTCAAAACGAATTTATATTCATTGATAAATTTGGTAATAAAATTATCAGAAAATCTGAGTGGCATTTTGTGTCTTTGTGAACATGTGAACTATGCTAGAATAATAGAACGACAACAAGTGGTTTCTCCCTATTAGAAGAATATACGAGTGTACGTAAATGATTGAGAATAGGGATTTGTTTTATTCAATAAATAAACGTGAACAAGTTGCTGAAAGTCACTAGAGCTTATGAATTAAGTTTTATGATAATGTTTTATTGTACTCTTATCCCCAGTAATTATGGAAGGAAACGTCAAATGCTATGTTTCTCATAGATGACTAGTATATTCAATGTATATTTGAATAGTTTCTTTTAAATATATTAGGACTAAATAGCCGTCCAGTGCTTCCAGGTTTTCCATGGTGGTCTGGCTGTAATTGACTCATGAATTCAACTATTAAATTATTATAATATCCACAAAACCCCATTCTGATTATGAAACCTCATCTATTTTATTGACTTTCTGAATTATCATAACTTGGTTTTAAAAATATAAACAATTATGCAGCATAATGTAATAACAGAAAACATTGTTTTCTCTGTTCTTAATCCAAATGTTGATTAAAAATCTAATTCTTTTGTTTCGACGCTGTCGGTCAAGGCTAGAGATGTAACAGTATTTCGTTAGAAATAATTAAAATAATTCGCTGTCAGAGATTGTTTGGATTTGACGAATATGATTATAGTTACTTCCTTATCATATATGTAGGAAACGTCCATACTTTCTTATGTATTAAGTTTAATTTAATCCTATCTGGATGAAAATTTTTAGTTATTTAAAGACTGAAGCTTGAGCATGACTTTCCAATTAACTGGTAACAACGTGGATATCATAAAAGTGTTTAAAATAACTAACAAGCTGTAAACGCCATTTTTACTCCTCTTTGAATAGGTTGTTGCAATCTGACGTTTGGGATTTGACTTTTGTATACAGAAAGAATGTTTGGTCAACCTTTCATTACCATGATACGTTAGTGATAGTTATTTTAATGTTTATCAATTATATTATCTCTTTATTACACTGAATTCCACTGATATTCACCTATGATCTTAACTTGAATTGTATTTTAATTGACTGTCATGTTAACAATTTGTTCTTATTCATTGTCTTTTTTATAATCAATTTTACACTTCAACCCCTACATTTTATAATTACATCTCTAATAATATAAATACTAATCTATCTGAACTATTATATAGAAATGTTCTTAACAAGTATATGTGTAATAAGATTGCTTGAAATGTACTGCTCTAATATATCACGTCGTTTTGATAATTTATGTCTTCTTGTTACATGATACAAATTTATCAGAGGGACCAATAGCTCTGTAGTAATAATAATAATGGATAGTTTTGGTCATTTACAGCAAATGAAAAGCCTCGAAATATGATGAATTCATATTATTATGTAAATCTTGTCCTTATCACTTTATTCAAGTTTACCGAGGAATTAGGATGCATAAAATTCGATATTCTGTTTCAGTGTATTTTAATACTAGTTATTAACAAGAATCAATCATATGGATGATATATTTTATGCATAAGGTAAATAATAATGGAGAAGATTTGTAGCTCCAATGAATGATTTCGGTAGAGTTTTCTTCTCTAATCTGGATGGTTTCGTCTTGAAACTTTCATTATTCTTCTATACAACATCATCAGAACAAACTTTAGGTAGAAATGAACTAACCGAATTTCTCCACTTCTGACTCTTAGCCTATTCTGTCAAATTTGAACTTGATTGGTTATTGCTGACCTTCAACCTATTATTATCTCGTTCCATATTTTGATCTTATCTTGTTTTGATCAAAAAGGAGGCAAATAATACATCTATTTCATTATTGTATAAAACCTGACGACCATTATATGAAGTATACATTGTATCATCCGTTATTATAGAATAAACAGTCAGCACAACATACAATGTTTAATAATCAAAACTACTTTATTTACAATCTATATTCATTTGTCTTAGAGTAACAATTAAAAAAAGAAGACATCATAAGTGAGTTATCCTAAAGACAAAAACAAAAACGAAAGTCACATCAATGAATAAATCTTCATAAAAAATCCAATTATTATCTTCATTTATTGTTTAATGATCTCTTTGCTAGCACCTCATTCATAGTTTTATCATAAGCGCTTAATATAAATTATTTGTCTTATAAATTATGACAATGATTTAATGATCATACAAGGAATGTTTAATTTATCGGAATAATCTGTTTGATGTTAGATAAAAACATAATGAAATACACATTGATACTGCTTCCTTTTGTAATACAAATTAGAAAATATTAACAAAGTGCTAATGATTATGAATGATATAACATGAATAATGTTGTAATAATAAACATTGTAAGACAATTTACATGTTAAGAACAAACAAACAAATGATGATTACATTGTAAATTTAAAAAAAAATTACCATCATACTCCACTTTCTAATTCTTGTGTTTCATTAAGTGTTTCAAATATACACATACGAGAAATTGAATGTGTACTACAATTTGTTGGATTATCAATGAAACATTGTTTATTATTAATATCAGTAGTAATATTATTTCGTCGTCTTATATGTCTAGGTGAATTAGGAGCGGAACGTATTTTTATTTCATTTGTACGAATAAATTCCATATGATTAGGAATTAATGTATTTTGATTAAAAATCGATAACCAGTAAGATACAGAATGTTCATCAGCTATTTCACCTTCAAGTGTTATACCTTCTCCACATCTTGTATAAATATGAAAATGTTTCTCATCTATTGGACTTGAACGTGTATGTTTTAAATTAAATGTCATATAAGGTGGTGAATAATAATCTGGTGTATATTCAGAATTCTGTGGATTTATTCGTGTTTTTAATAATAATACAAAAGTTGGAATATCTATATTATGTGTATTCAGTTTTGATGAAATTGATGATGATTTCTGATAAATTTGTACCCAAACAAGTTGATTATATTTATCTGATGAATTTGATGAATTCACAGATCTTATATATATTTTTCCAACTATAGTTTGTCCTAAATTATTAGAATGATCAATAATATTATTTAAATGATTATTATAATTCATATGTCCATCATTTTGATTGTAATTTGTGTTGTTATTACAATTACCATTATTGTCAACATTATTATTATTATTATCATTGTCATTGTTAATATAAAATTTCGAAAGTGGTACAGTTAATGATTTACAATCTTCAGTTGGTTCACTTATTGTCTCTAATATATCCTTTTCATTAATAATTGGATCAATTAAAATCTGTGGAAGATTATTCATTTTTAATGAATGATTTAATAAATGGATGTTAACTTTTAATATAATAAAATGAATATGATATTTTGAATATCATTTTTAAAATATGATTTATTATTTACAGATTAATATTAATTATTTGAAAATCTGTTGATTAACGAACCAATCATAATTAAGCTAATAAATGTTAGTTATTTATAGAATCTGTATAAATCAACCAATCATATACTTGATGTAAATTTCTTTACTATGATTGGATGATTGAAATGATCAGTTTAGGGGTTGTGGAGATTGTTAAGTTTTTAATTGAAATCATGAGTCAATTGAAGATAGATCATTATGGAAAGCCTGGAATCACTGGATGGCCGTTTTATTAATAATATGAAGAAGACAAGCTTCGCTTCTATTTCCCGTTTGTGAATGAAAACTCAAGTAATAGAAACAAAAAGAGAACAAGATAAAAATTGTTTATTTTTCATTAAAAAAGTGGAAGCATAAGTTTAAAAGTTTTTGAACAATGAAATATTTACTACCTTTATTCTGTTTATTTCATTCGAATCTAAGATACTCAAAACCTATCACAAATGCTTGGAATTTCAGAAGAGGTTTTGTGGAGATTTTAGTAATTTCAGTAGTTGAAATCATAAGTCATTTAAAGTTAGACCACTATGGAAAACCTGGTCAATAAGTTATTATGCCAACATCTACTTTTTCTGTACTAGTAAAACTTATTCATAAGTGTGACAATTTATGTGCTAAGCTAACAGTTAAGTTGATTTTCTATCTACCACCAAGAGAAATAAGTAGCAAACAATAGTAAGATGAAAAAAACTTTTCCCGAAATTAGATATTTCTGCAAACACTACAGAACACTGATGTCAATCAAACATTGATCTTAGTGTGTGTAAAAATTAAGTTTAGATTTTTCAGAATATGTTCGTCATTTTCAACATAAATTGTTAATTCATTAATAAAAAGCCTTAAGATTATGTTTCTTTAATTACATCATACAAGTGAAGAATGTCAGCGAAATGGTAAAGAGATAATAGTTTTAGATTTTGTGTAAAAAGAAATGTTTGTTTAACAATACTAGCCATCAGTAGTTTGTACTGATTTGTAAATTTGAATGTTATTTTAATCATAACACTATTATTAGCTTTAGAATATTTAATAATTATGAAGCACTAAAAGTTTAATTTCTTGAAATTCAACCAGTCATGTGACATGAATAATAAAAACTTTTTACAAAGTAAATCCAACCATTAGCTTAACTATCATTCTATGCTTTTAGTGGGTTTCAGTTGGTGTCGCTAATTACACTATATAATCATCTAAAAGATTATCAAATAATACCAATTTTAAATGAGGATAATTGTAGAAGAAATGTTTATTTCATTGTTCAGCACAATTACTAAAAAAACATTACATGAACCATAAAGAAGTAATGTACAGAAAATGGACATTAACATATTGGTGTATAGTGGAATTGATTTGTGGGAATCTGTTAATGATATATCATTTTAATATAAAGGATATCAGTATTCATCAGTTTGGCTATGCTTAAAAGTTTGTATCATGTAATAACTGATAATTCCTTGTCGAATAAACATTTATTGACTATACTTGTTAAATATTCTGACTGCCTCTTATTTTACCTCGTACTTAGTAAAGCCAAATTTCACAAGCAAAATCCACTTTGATTTGATCAACATTCACGAATTTATCATCATTTCATTTGAGAAATATTGAGGATATCAGTTGAGAAAATCTAAAATATATTCAGTGAATTCTTGTATATATCACATTACTTTGGTTAAAGAATGTCATCAAGTTCTAATGTACAACTTTAAAATGCAAACACATTAACTGTATGTTGGAAGTTATTTATGTACTTACTTACGCCTGTTACCACTCATGGAGGAGCATAGGTTGAACATTACCATTCTCCATCGAACTCTGTCTTGGACAATCCTTTCCAGTTCTTTCCATTTACTATTCATCCTTTTCATATCTGCTTCCGATTCTTGGTGCAGTGTGTTCCTTGGTCATCCTCTTCTGCATTTCCATTTATAATTCCCAATTAATACTTGTCTCGTGATGTAGTTTGATGATTTTCTCAATGTATGTCCTTTCCACCTTCAAAGTCTTTTCCTAATTCTCTCTTCATTTAAAAGCTGGTTTTTTTCTTTTCCACAGTAGACTATTATTGATAATATCCAATCAACGGATATGGAGTATCTTTCGTAGACAATTGTTCATGTTCGAATTACTACTTATAAAATCAGAAGTCTAAACAGTTAGAAAAGTAGATCAGTAAAACATAAGTCATAAATCAACTGAGAAGTAAAAACTCAATTTACTTAGTTTCAAATATTTACCTTCATATTTTTATGCAAAAACAAAGTTTGTTGAGGGTAACTAAATAAATTCATTTTCAATTCCGTCAAGTTAATTTTTTTGACAATAAAAATCATGTTTTGATATTTTCTTTTTACCTCAATAACAAGATATCTACATTCTTGTTGAATGATAATTACATAACCATAATTTCTGTAACTGAGAATAAGATAAATAATACATAAACAATGAATAGTTAAATCAGATAAAATGGATTTTCATTAATTCATGACATAAATTTCGACGTTTTCAGAGTACAAGTTATGTTTTATTCCAAGACCCCATTTATAACATTTTCATTGAAGTGTATAATAACTGTGTTAAAAATCACTTGGTATTGTTTAATTGAATCTTCCCATTCATGTTTAGAACTTCAATTGATCAGTCTCATTTTGTCATATGTGCATACTGTGCGTATTGTCCTGATAATGGGTTCGAGTCCCAGGATGAACATCAACTCTGAGATACAGGTACATTCAGCTGATGACTCCCAAATAGGACTAAAAGCACGTCCTGGACTCCACTGCTAGGCACTATCTAACATCGCTCATTTTGCATTAAAGATCGTTCATTATTATAAATAGAATTATTCGTATATTTTACTTACTTTATTTACTTACGCCTGTTACTTTCAATGGAGTATAAGCCGCCGACCAGCATTCTCCAAACCAACCTGTCCTGGGCCTTCCTTTCCAGTTTTGTCTAAGTTTTTTTACAAGATGGGGTCGCTAAACCCATGCCCAACCCTCCTCTTTCATCTGGGCTTGAGACAGGCAGTAGTCCCGGAGGGGCTCCAGGTGGAGTTATTCGTATTTTGTAATGATTCCTTATTCACTTGATACGACACCACTTAGCTATGTATGAAACTGAATGTAAAAGAATAGTTTATTTACAAATTCACTAATAAAATCAGTTTGATCACAAATTTCTATCAATCAATACAGAGCTAAAAAGAAAAATCAATTATTTTCTCTATTACCATTGCTAAAAATACCTAACTTAGTGAAAAAACACAATTTTAAACCGATCAAGACAGTTGGATACAAAAGGAATCAGTAGTTATGACAGAGATCAATAGAAAAATTTCTCACATACGTTTACTATTATACAAAAACAACTGAGCGGATATAATTTCTTGTCGGAATTTGTTATGCTCGTAAATAATTTCATAAATTATTATAACTTATTCGATTGATTTGTAAAGAGTTATACTGTCTAATATGTACCTTTCAAGTTAATAGCGTGACTTTCAGTTGCGATTTGAATCATTTTTAAACGAAATTAAGAAAACTGATTAAACTAGAAAGTAATTAAACTGGAAAGTAATTTCATATCATCAGACCTTCATAAGTTGTAGAAATAATTTCAGATCGTTTTTATTTACCAATAAATTTGTGATCAGTTTATAAACGTGCAAAGTGGAACACATAACTTGAGCTAGATTCTATTGATAACGATTCATATTCATATACAATATACCTCATTGTGAACATTGACTGATAAACTACCTTGATTAGTATTCCGTTGTTCTATTTAAACTTGGATTAATTTTAATTCGGTTATTTATTCTCTGAAGAAGTGACGTACACTAAGTCACGAAACGTCAGAAAATCTAGTTATTTTACTCATTGGGATATTAAAATATATCACTTATTTAAGTGTAATCAATATTCTTCTCTTATATGTGTTGTGCTAATTTTTATGATGGACCAATGTCATTTGAAAGTGCGAATGAACGGAAATCAATATTTCATTTTAAGGCAAACTTAAGTAATATCTATCGATGGAACATCTAACTGAACTGAGTAGCCAAGTAAATACAGCGTTGGGTGCCATAAGTTAAAAGCATTAGTTTCAAGTCTCAAAGTGAATATAAACACTTGGGTGGATGTACATCTAGTTAACGAGTCACGTAAAACAATAAACGCATTTTTTGTCCTTCTCAGTCAACCACTTTCTAACTTAACTTAGAAGTACTGTATATTTAATGACATGATCGAGGAAGTTCTCATTGAAAGTACATAAGCTATAAGTGAGCAATTAGTGGCAGCCTTTAACTTCAATAACAGAAAGATTCCAACTCTTATAAGTGAATAATGATGTCATTTATTTTATTTAAATAAAACCTTTTATATCATTCCCTTCATTCTCTTTTGACTCTATTAGTTGTTAGTTGAACCATGACAAAATAAATCTTTACCTAACTCATACCGACTAATACAAACTATGTAATTTCTAGATATAAAGGTGGTAAAATTTTGAAATCATGTCATTAACATAATGTAAAATCAAATTAAAAGCCTAGTGTATATTTGATTTTCCTGAAATAATTTCCATTGGTCATTGAAACAAGGATTTTGAATTTATTTTTGTGTAGGCAATACCCACCATTTACAAAATACTTACATAGATTCAAACAAATTGAGTTATATCTAGTGTCCCAGCATAGATGCTAAAAGCTTATTTGTCTATTTATTTATTTCACTAGTTGAAATCATGAGTCAATTGAAGCTAGACCACCATGGAAAACCTAGAAGCATTGAACTGGATGCGCACTTCTGAGGAGTCCCATACTAGAACGAAACGGCCGTCCAGTGCTTCCAGGTTTTCCAATTGACTCATGACTTCAACTATTGAACTTACTAAAATCTCCAAAAAACTCTTTCTGATAACAATCATCTGCTCAGTAGTGACTAACTTCAAAAGATACTCCCGGAGTTCTACTGAGAAGCCGTTACCAGTGGAGTTCAACCAGGTCTGTTGTGAGATAACAGCTCACTGAAAACAATAGTGTACGGTGGCGCGATTTCGTGGATTAGTTAAAGTTAGACATTAACACCGTTGGATACCAGCCAGCTCAATGTTTAAGTGGTTAAGCGCTCGCGCGTGAGACTGATAGATCCTGGCTTCAAATCTCACAGTAGGCGGGAATGTGGATGCGCACTGCTGAGGAGTCTCAAACTAGAATAAAACGGCTGTCCAGCGCTTTCAGGTTTCCCATGGTGTTCTAGCTTTAACTGACTCATGATTTCAATTATTGAAATTACTAGTCTCCACAAAATCCCTTTCTGATATTATTTTTGTTGAAAATCATAACCATTTTATGAAGCGATTGATACTACAGGAAGTTTTAAATTTGTCATTTAAAATGTGAACTTCAATTCATTACAATTTCATGTAATTTAACAGCTAAATATGGTAGTTAGACTTGATTTCATAATGAATGTAACTAATAATGATAACCTTCCATTATATTGAATGTTCAGAATTACTTTAAATTGAAGTTTGTTTTTCCAAAAACCATATGATCTTATACGGATTATATTGATTTGTTCTAAGTAATTCATCACGTTCATGTTATATTATGTTACATGTAAACCAATCCTACATTTTTAATGATAGTTACTGTTAATTTAATGTAATAAAATCAATAAAAGGAATTATATTCTTCATTAGTCAAACTCGTTACAGTTTATTCTTTAGCAGAATATAAGAAAAATGTATTTTAATGAAAGGAGAGACTATAATTTATGGATGAACCAATCACGTATAAGATAACAGATCTTGGATTTTGGCACGAAATTCACTCAATCATTTGGCTAACTAGAGTTCTGGCATTATAGCTGATGTCAGTTTTATAAGCCTCACTTGGTCCTAGTTATTAGGTGAACACTCTCAAGGTCACTTTAGCGTCGCTCAAAGGTCATCCATAAATCATAGACTCACAGTAAATTCTTATCAAATGTTCTAACCACATTTAGTTATATTTATTCAAAACATTTCAGCTGTTTAAATTCATAGTATTAGAGTATAAAAATATATTGAAAATTCGAAATCATCAGAAATTAATTTGTAAATTAGCAACCGAAGGTAATTACCAAAGAACCCTAGACCTAGATTTCATATTATTTAGTATTCGTCAACAAGACGCGCCTGTGGTCTTGAGAGACTTGATGATCCCTTGATGATTCGATTCTGTGTCACCCAGCTTCACAGTCACATACATTACTACTAGCACTAAGAAAGACTTTAAATACATGACATTGGTCAATACTCAGTGATTAAACAATTGTAAGAAATTTGTATCTTCTAATGAATGAAATGACAAACAAAAGTGTTTTTACTGACGTTTAACTATTTTGAGCTAATGGCTGTTTCAAAGTAATAATTAACTGGAATTTGTCAGAAATTCAAAACCATTTAAATAATACCCAAATTTTTCTCTCAAAACAATTAAACTTGAACATAATTTGAACGTGAATGCATTACAAATCCACTCTGTACAACAGAAAAGGTCTTATTAACATAGATGAATAAATGATACAAATATATATGTTAATCTATCTACTAGGCAGAAGTGATAAAGTCAACTAAACTTCAGGATTCCGTGTCATGTGTAAGATATCAATAAGTCGAACTTTTTGCTCATTAAATATAATTAAACTCTCGACTTTAACAGTTCATTTGTTTCTAGCTGTATTTATAAACTTAGTTTTGAAAATATAGAGACCAATTTGATTTATGAACTATCCCATTCATAGAATAATAATGTAAACTAACGTCTACCTGATAAAGACGAATGACTTTGGGACTCTTCTCTTAATTATAAAAGTGATTACAATACCTGTAATTAATATATCATTCTTTATTTCTTACACTGTACTGTTCAATTTCGTAAATTACAAAATATGACATGCATACATGATTTTGTTTATAGATAGACTTTAGCTTTTAGCCAACCATGAATGATGAAATATTATTACAAATTGAAATTTAATTATGATCAAGAACCGATCAATGTTAGACCATCATTGAAAACCTGAAATAACTGGACGGACGTTTCATTCCAGTATGGGACTCCTCATTAGTGTGCGTCGATCATG